GTGTCGTCAGCAAAACTATGCGTGACAACAAAAATAAAGCTAAAAGCGACTTCGAGATACAAATAACTCGCCATTGCGAAGACGACTGAGCATAGTATCTCAGCAATTGAGTATTATCAGTTGTTACGTCAAACTTCGGAATTTGTGAAATATTAGGTTTTGAAGAATAGTAAGAGAAGGGCTATTCTAAAAGAGGGGAGATAAAAAGACGTAACGAGATCTTATCGTATCTCGGGTGCACGCTGGTAAAGGCGTGTGTCTCGAGACAAATGCACGTTTCGGGAAACTCCACATACAAGATTAAAAATTTATAAATTTATTTAACTAATTAAAATTTAAATTTAAGGAATTAAATTAAGTGATTAAAATTCAAACTTGACAATTTGTTAACTAGGATCTCGACAATAAATGTTTTCAATCAATAACAATATGACGTAAAGTGACGATATTAATGTAAAGTACTACTTATCGCAAAAATAACCGATCGGAAAGGGTTCTGCTGAAATTCACTACATTGAAAAGGTTCGTAGGAATAAAATTAATAAACTGTATGCCATAATGAGTTACTTCGTTCCACTGAAAGCGCACTCGTTACTTTGCCAAGGTTTTTCGCTTTGAACATGTTGAAAGATATTTCCCGAGAGTAATGATATGCGATTACTCCTTTTTGAAAACCTGTACTTCGTTTATTTCTTGAATCGCGATTGCTACGGTTGCTCTCAGATGCTTTTTGCAATCCGACTGATCGTAGAGCGGAATATATTTTACACGTATATTACAAAAAATAATATTACTTGTGACATATCTATCGTCCATACGTTATAGTTCATAGTTCTATCGTTCATACATATATTTAGTCATCTCATAGTAGTATGCAAATCCATTTTTCATAATCTATATGTATATTTAAGATATAGTAGTTTTTACAGCATTATAATAATACTGGCGGCTTCTTTTTTCAGAGATAGGCACAGAAATATATATTATAACGTACAAATAAATTAATCCAAGAATATTTCATCAGACACTTAGCGGAATACTTATTTAAGCAATCTTTTTACATTATTATCTAACAATAATGTCTGTTTAGACACGCAGTTTAAACAATGTTTGCTGTGATTGGAAGCTCATCAATAAAAAGTTTCTTATTCTCAATGACATGTTTATACCAGTTCATTGACCATTTTGGAGTTCTTGTTCGATTTGGATCAGTGAAGTTGACGTGTACCAAGCCGAATCGTTCTCTGTTAGAAAATAATTTTATAAATAAATATATACATACATGCATACATACATATATATATATATGTATATATGTATACATATGTATATATATATATACACAATATGTATACATATTTTAAAGAGTTTTAAAAAATGTAACAAATAATAACTCACGTATAACCCTTGTTCCATTCAAAATTATCTAACACACTCCAAGCAGCATATCCTTTCACATTACATCCGCTTTCTCGAATGGCAGTTAACATTGCCTTCATATAAGAATGTAAGTAGGATATTCTTAAATAATCAAAAGTACAACATCTGTCAGAAAAACCATTCTCTGTAATAAAGATAGGTGGGTTATTATATTCACTCGCGATCTTCTTGATAATCTCTCGAAATCCAGCGGGAACAACCTAAAATATTTATAAAACTTATATTGCGCATAAATACAAAGATTTTAATCACGTCGGTATTTTATTTTTAATAAAAAAATTATTTTAATTTAAGTAATTTTATTGTATTTAAGAAAAGATGATATTCGACATATTTAACTTAATTCACAGTGGAGCAACATATTCGTTACTTTGTAACACTACATCATTTGATAGCAATAGTCAATTACTAGTTTCTCCATAATTGGTCATAATTTCACCAGTTATATTTGATTCAGCCGAATTGTCGGAATATGCACATTTTCTGAAATACACTCGATTCTAATTTCCAATTTATGGCGTTGACTACAAACTATGAATAATTCACAGAATGAATTATTCATAATAAGTTAAACCATCTGTACGACTTAATTGTGCCTGATGTGTTATCAGGGTTAAATCCTAGCAAGTTTTACACAACCAAGTTTCAAGCGCGCGAAAATTGATTGATAGATTGATACATATGTAATCCTCTATGCTAACTAACTCTGAGCCAATCCGAAGCACTTTTTGGCCATGATGGATCTATGCTTGTTTTCACTCCGGAATAATCGTACCACGCTTGTCCTTTTGATCGTGGCACTGTTTCCACAAGTTTCGAAGTGTAATGATTCAATCCAAAAAAGTCCGATGTACCTCTTAAAAAACGGAAAAAATAATAAGAACCGAGAGATAATGTCAGTCTGATAAGAGATAATTAATTAGTAACGGTATTAATTATTGCATATTTTTGTGCTATTTCTTACTTAATATATTGCACCCATTCTGGCGAAAATACTGGCAAAATAGATTTCGGAAAACCATCCAGTTTACTGTTTTCAGCTATTTGGTTTCTCATAATCGCTGGATAATCACCAGTCTTTGAAAAAATAGGATGGGCTACCCATCCGCAATCAAATTGGAACTGTACGTCTACTGCTGTAGTATCAAAAGGATTTTTGGGGAATGCGCCTGAGCAAGAGGGAACTATGCCAATTTGACCTTTCTGCTTTTTTCGAAATTCTTTGTCATAGATATGATAAATCTTGGCATGCGCCTTCAAAATATTATGCATGCACAAATATTTGCCAGGATAACCTAATTT